ATTTAAATTTCTTTCTTTTTCCTGAGGAGACTGGTGAGGCTCCGCCTCTCTTGCCTCTAGTGACTGCACGTCCCTGAGGCGGATGTGCCAGTTCTGCTCCCTGAGGCTGCTCTGCCCCATCTTCTCAGATTGAGGGAGGCAAACTGAACACCTCAACAGCTGGAGGAGCTGTGAAAGAACCAGAAACTGTTTGCTAAAGACCTTGCTTTAAAAAACACACACACACATAAAGAGTTTCAAAAAAAGTGACTTTTAGAGGTTCAATCTTGATGTTGGATTTAAAATTAATAATGAATGTTCACAATATTTTGTGCCACTGATGAACCCCAAGTGCGCCTGTCTGCTCTGGTGAATCCTGGGTTTGAAGTATTCTGTGGTGCAACGTTCTATGTTTGAAAATCCTTTGTAAGGAGGATTTTTACTTTCCTGGAGTCAGAGGAGAAGAAGGGGAACCTGGATGCCTCTCCCCACCCCCTTTATAAACCCCTCCTGGGCCAAGTAATCCTGGGCCAAGCCCAGGCACGGAGGAGCCTCACTGTGAAGCTAGGGGATCATGGGAAGGCTCCAGAGAGAACCAGCCAGCTCACCCTCCCCTGTGGCCTGCAGAGATACAGTCTCCAGGCTGTCCTCCCAGTCCATCTTCCGGCCTTTGGAAGGTCCCAAGAGGCTCCTGGAGGGTTCTCTTCTGCAGTGATGGTGGGAGAGGCCCCGGGAGACTCCCAATGCAGAGTCCTTCGAGGTCTGTGAGGGGCCCTGGGGGATTTTGTAATTGAAGACAATTCCTTCCGGGCTCATAAAGGGGATTTCTAAGAGCCACATTCATGAAAGATTGAACGTTACAATAATCTCGAGTTGATTCAGAAAATGGTGAGAAGCCAAGGAGGAAATCAACGTCACTGAGAGGGCGGACAGATAAGTCTTCCAAATAAATAAATGAAAATAAAAGCGGTCCCTGTCTAATTATGTTTGGTGGTCAGTTTTGAAAAAAGGTGCCCGATGAGAACCCATTGCTGGGAGTTAGGAGGAAACTGCAGAGCAACGGTCTTGTGGTGTGAAGCCCCCCAAAAGACAATAAAAGGAGAGTTTGGAAAAGGGAAGAAGAAGATGGTGACCAGGAGGGAGTAAAAGCTCTTTGGATTGTAACAAAGGCTGCAGAATTGTCATTCATGTCAGCTCTTAAAGAAAGAGCAGCCCATGTGGAGTAGCATTTATTACAAATAAAAAGCAGTGCTATTGCTATTCCTTTTTTTTAAATGAAGAAATTCTTAATGTCCATTTCCATTAAGAACTTGGCACCTCTCTCTGTTAAATTTAATTCTGCTATTTTAACCTATTTACTTGTGCTATTAAAGTTTTTTTTTTTAAAATATTTTTTTCTGTCTTCTAGGATACTAGCAATCCCACTTGTACTTGTGCTGTCTGCAAATTTATTAAGCATTCTTGTGTTTGTTCACCTGAATCATTATTATAAAATCCTGAAAAACAAAAGTTCCAGGTCTGATCCTTGCACCTCACTCAAATTTGATTCTCTGGTCAATTTTTAGCCAATTATATATCAACTTAATTTTTATCCCATCCAACTTGGTTGTTTTTAATGTTTTAAATGGTTGAATTTTATAGTTTTAAAAATTATAAAAATGATTTTTAATGTTTGATTAGGAGCAGCCCAGAGTTGGTTGAAAGATGGGTGGCTATGTAAATGTTTTAAATAAATAAATAAACTCACCATGAACTAACCTGCAATCAGAATCTCATGGGCTGCTTTGTTAGATGTTCTGCCTCAGTGAAAATAGATTAAATCTGCAGCATTTCATGGAGGCTGTTATAGCTCAGCCTCCTAATCTGCTTCTAGAATTTTCCCAAATATTCATGTCAGGTCCGTAGTTCCCCATAGATTCCTTTCCCCTTCCTTTAAAGAAAGGACCTTTGCTCGCTTTCACTTCGTAATTTGTCCAGGTTTTCCCAAAGAGAAAGCTTCCCCCTGCTCATCAGCTAGTTTATTCTTTGTAGACTGAAACTCAGATATTCTCTACCTCAAGCTTCAATTCCACCCCTCTGTCCTATTCCCCGCCCCTTTCCTAGTGGAAAGCACTTATCTCCTTGTTGGAGAAAACTGGAGCAAACAAGGAATTGGGTCTCTGTCTTTTTTGTGGTTCTTAATGGTGGCGCTTCATTGCTCTCATTAAGGAGCAAATATTTTGATTCTTTGAATTTGTGCCTATCTAAAGAAGCCTTCTACTCTTCTGGAAGTCCTTCTCCAATTGTAGCTCATTCCTCCCTAGGGAATCTCATTGCTGAACAGCTCCAGAAACTCTTGAACAAACAGCTTTCTAGATTAAGTTTTAATGCAATTCTAACCCAGGTTTTGAGCTGATGTCGCATTTAAGGCTTGTGCAAGAGGGAAGGGGGTGGCTGACGGTTGTCTTGGACTGTGCAGCCACTCAACCTTGGTATCCTATTGGAGCCTTCCTGGCTAGGAAGCTGGGACTCTGCATTTCAGGATGGTGCTACTTCCTGTATAACAAACTCCAGAAGGAAACGCTGGGGGATGGCTGCTTTCTCCTGGGCAGTTTTGCTATGGGCTTGCCTCCTGGAACTGGGCCCATGTCCTTTAGCCTCTGGGGCAGCTGATTCAGGGGCAAGGGTTGAGACGTCACAAGATGCAGAGAACACCTGCTTTATTTCTCAAGTGTCCAGCAAAAGTGTGCTCTGCATGTTTGAAAGGAGGCTCCCTGGGGCCAGCAGGAGCCCGTTCTGCTGTGCATGACAATCACATGCACCTGGGGCACAGGCCCTGCTAAACCACAACCTTGGAATTGTGCAGAGAAGCCCCTCCTGATGGTGAAGTAATCAATAACTGAGGGGCTGCCACAAAGATTTTCCCAAGAACCAGAGGGCAGGACAAGAAACAGTGGATGGAAGCTAATCAAGGAGAGGAGCAACCTGGAATTATGGAGAAATTTGCTAACAATGAGGACAATTAACCAGTGGAAGGGCTTGCTTTCAGAAGCTATGGCTGCTCTTAAAGGAGGTCTTTAAGAAGAGGCTGGACAGCCAGCTGTCTGAAATGGCATAGGGTCTCCTTCTTGAGCAGGGGGTTAGACTAGAAGACCTCCAAGGTCTCTTCCAGCTCAGTTATTCAGTTCTGCATCTTTGGCATATTTACCTGAGAGGGATACGGATAGCAATAATCCGATCGATGGCAATGGCCAGGAGGCTGAAGATGGAGCTCTGGGTCAGCACCAGGACAAAGCAGGCGATGAAGAGGCAGCTGTAAAAAAAGGTGCAGAAGCCGGTGCTGATCGTGATGGCGAAAGGGATGGCCAGCACACCCACCGCAATGTCAGCTATCGCCAGGGAAGCCACAAAGTAATTGGTGACATTCTGCAGGTTGCTGTTGAGATAAACGGCCCAACACACCAGGACGTTCCCAAAGATGGCCAGAAGGGCAATGAGCAGTTCAAAGGCAATGTAGATGATGTCGGTAAGGAAGTTCTTGTCCCCAGGCACTAGCATGGTGAGGGTGGCTCAAAGCAGGGGCCAGGGACCCTCGTGTCCATAGCTGCAGGCCACTTCAGGCTGTGATGGCAGAGCGGGTGGGCTGGCCTTCAGGAGGCTAGGCAGCGCAGAAAAGGTGGCCTCCCGCATGGAGCCCATTCATTCTCCAAATGGCAACTCAACACCTGTTTCCGCCCAAAACTCGCTGGGCGATTCCTTGCCTTTGCGGAAGGCCCCCCTGCAGGGACAGCAGCTCTTCTATTTTCCTCCGAGGAAGCCCTTTGGAGAGGGTGGGGAGGATATTCCGTGGGACTTTCTGCATGGGGGAGAGGAGGAGGGGGAAAAGAAAAAGATGATGAGATGCAAGCCAAGTGACGGCCTCCACTCAGGCCACTCCTGAGCTTCCAGACTGGTAAAGCTCATTGTTTATTCTTTAGCCTATTCCGCCTTTCATTCACCCCTCTTCCCTACACCCCCCCCCCATGAGGAAAGTGGGGATGAGAGAAGGGGACTTGGGCAGGAGTCTCCCATTCCTAGACTAGCACCCGTGTGGCTGTACTTTTCCAAGCCTTGGGCCTTGGAAAGGGGAGAGTCTTGGCTTCCCCATCACCTGACTATAGATTAAGGATTCTTAAACTGTCTGACTCAACTATACTCCCCCCCACTTCTCATCACCCCCACAAAAGCCCAGACTCTGTTAGGTTACATGAGTGTCATGGCGGCAGCTGTAGTTTTAATCAGGATCCTCAGGTCACAGACAATTCCCGTCCTAATGGCCATCGTTAACCAGAGACTACCTGTACGGCAACATTGATTCAGCCAAGCCCGAGCCCCCAACTGCATAGGAGCCTTTCAAAGCTAGGCCCCAACTCTTCTCCCTTTCCTCTTTTTGGATTACAAGGTCATTGGTAAGCAGATAGCATGATTTTGGAAAACAGAGGTTTACATCTCTAGCATCTGTACCACTATAAATGATTACAGAAACTTTCTTGTAAAATCTGCATTCCTGCACAGCTGCTCACCTCTCCTATGGCTTCAGCCTTAATCTCCTAGGGCAGCCCAGTCTCATCATGCGAGTCACATTGGGGTAGTTGCTGAAGATACTGATCTACAAACTAGGAGTCCCAAGTTCTCCTCCAGAATTCAAGTCACTGGAGGACTTTGGGTTTTCGAACAGGAAGCCACTTCAAAAACCTTGCCAAGAACACAACAAGGGCTCATCCAGGCAGTCCCAGGAGTCACAGCTGTACACATTCACATCCCTTTCTCTCACACAGGAATCTAAATAGTCTCCCAAATGCTACCAGGTCCATTTTTGAAGGAGGGAAACAGTATTCTGGCAGGGCAATAAAAAACAGGCCTTCCGGGCTAAAATGTGGACCGATTGTCAGTCATGGTTTACAAGGGCAAGGAGGGTGACATGGCAAGACAGGGTAGTAGTGAAGCAGCCATTTTATCTTAATATTGGTGTGCTGATAAAATAATAGTAGTCATGGAAACAGAACATAAACATTCTCATTTCCTTTGCCACTAATTGCATTTCTAATCTATCTTGAATATTTGGTCTGTTTCCGGTAATAAGAGGAAATTAAGTATTAATATCCAACCACTTCACTTATGGCTGCTTGAAGGAGGGCCTACACCCCTCCACATGCTCCACTCCCTGCCCAGGTGCCTGCCAGGCTCTCCCTCTGGGGAAGGCCTCCGCTTTGCCCAATGCTGAGGGTCCCCCCTCTGGCCCTGGCACCAACAGACCCCAGGGCAGAGGTCTTTCTTTGCTCCCCTCCCTCCAGGAAGGCTTTCTCAACTCTGGCAGCTTCAAGATGCATGGACTTCAACTCCTGTGGCTGTTTGTGGAATTCTGCCAGTTGAAGGCCATGTGTCTTCCCAAAACTGAGACACATCCTTAGCTCTACAATTAGTCCTCAACTTATGGCTACAATTGGGACTAGAATTTCCATTGCTAAGTAAGGTGATTGTTAAGTGAACCATGCAGCTGTTAAGTAAATCTGGTTTCTCTCAGATTTGACTTGTTCAGCAGAAGCCAGCTGAAAATGTCATAAGTGGTGATCACATGATCCTGGAATATGGGAAACGTCGCAAATACAGGCTGGTTCCCAAGTACCTGAATTTTGATCCTGTGTCTATTGGGATGCTGCAAAGAGTTGTAAGTGCAAGGACCGGATGCTGTTTTTTTCAATGCTGCTGCGGCTTTGAACATTTGCTCAACAAATCATTGCAAATCCCTCGACTTACAACCATTTCTTTAGCAATTCTTCAACTTGTTGGCATTATTTTCCTTCTTAAAACCCTGTCCAAGGGCAGCCTCAAGGTGGCTCAAATCCCACAGCAGGCTGGGGATCAGCACGGGGCACAGCCTGCGTTGGGCTGCTCTTTTTTCTCAAGGAGGCTTTTGGAGCACTTCAACTCAGCAACCAAGAAAGGGCAATTCTGCTTTGCAGGGAAAGGCTCCCATGGAGGAGAATGTCCCTCCGGGTGGCCCGTTCTTTAGGGAGGCAAGGTAATATTCCTACTCTGCTTACAGAAAACAGGGGAAATCCATCTGTGTGGGAATCTGAACTGTATTATGTTGAATGTTGTTGAATGTTGAATGTGCAGGAAATGCAGGAATGCAGGAAATGCACAGGTTACATTCCAAAAATATGTCTAAAACTTATTTAACCAAACTTTTGTTGCCTAAGAGGCTTGAACGGCCCTTCCCAAAGGCTGGTCTCCATCATTCAGGATTTCCAAGTCCCCCCCCCTCCCCCCAAGCTTCTGCAGCAAAGCCTCTTTGGGCTTCCCATTCCTCTAGTGTGGCTGAAGGCCTGCAAAGTTCTCCATTGGCAGCTGATCTTCAGGACATGGGACAGCTCCAAAGAGCCTCTCACCTGATGGGTGCCAGATTTCCATCTGAGCTGACTTTAGGTTCATTCTGCATAGGAAGGAGATGGTGCTCCAGTCCACACCCCACAATTCAAGCTATGGAAGTGGACCCCCAACTATATGGGAAGAGGGGAGATACAATCTGGGGATCAGAACATGCTCCGAGAACCCAGAGACACAGTGACAGCTGCTCAATTTTGGTACAGCATACATCAATATCCCTACTGGGGAAAGGAGGGTTCTGCAGTGGCACCACTAAGACCCTGGCAACGCAAACTTGCACCTCACCCAGGACATCACATACCCCTCTTTTCCATGAGCCGCCCAAAGAAGCCAACTACTGCCTGGGTGCCAGATTCTTGGTTGGCTCCCTCCTCTTAGCACTTTCAACGCTGCTTCCCAGCTATCTTTACATTCTGAGTCAGACATGCCTTCCCACCACACAGAGCAGCCCTGGCACTTCAGGGGAAGGGGCACCGTAAGTGGGCTTGGCTTGTAACCAACCCACCTCTTCACCCAGCGGGTTCTTTGGGTTTCACTATTTGTGGGAGAAAACCTGTTGAGGAGGAAGCAGGCGGCCAGCCCTCCTTTGGGAAGAGGGGCAGAGGGTGGGTCCTGGATGGGCATTTGCAGAGGTTTGGACCTGCCAGTGAGTTTGAAGAGGGGCTGCAACTGGCTAAAGAACATGGGGGACAGGTAGTCCTCGAGTTGCTGGAGGTCACATCACATTTTGGGCTCCTGGCAACTGACGCAGGTTTACGGTTGTTTGCAGGGTCCTGCAGTCACAGGCCTGAGAGTTAGGCATTATTATGTTCTTGTAGAAAACTACCATTTAGTTCCTCCCATTGCAAACAATGGATTTGCTTAAGGACCACAGCGTTTGCTTAACAACCATGGCATTTGCTTTATGACCAACAGGTTCTTTCAATGACCAGAAATGTTGTAATATTAGGACTGATCTATTTAACAACTGGCATGACTTATAATACTGGGCCCAGTTACAGTCGTAAGTCGAGGACTACCTGTTCGATCTAAGAGGTTGTCCCAGATTCCCAGTCCTACAGATGGACCCTGCTGGTTGCCAAGCCCCTCCCCTCCCACAAAAAGGGTGACTAGTTCCCCCCTCCCACACTGCACAAAGGCTGAACTTCAACCAGACAATTTCTCTGCAATGCTGAGATGCAGAAGAGCCCCCGATGCCAGCCTCCAAAGCTGCAAACTTGAGGAAGGGTTTGTGAGCAGCTCCTTCCCAGGATGGGAGCTATCCTGTGGTAAGATAGGCAGCCAATGAATTTCATACACTAAATAAATAAATGGAGAGACATGGAGACCCTTTTCAGGTTCTCAGGGCCCGGCTCTCCTTCTGCCAAGCTCAGGTTGGAAACAATCCCCCGTTTTTGAAACTGTCTTCCAGGTGCCGCCACCCCCCAATCGCTGGAAGGGGGAAAGAGGCCTTTTTAAAGGGAGTGGGTGGCATATCCCCCCCCCTGGGGAAAAGATATTGGTTGCTGAACTGGAACTCTTTTTGGCAAACATTTTCTGCTTTGGCAAAGACTCTGGCTATTAAGTAGAGCCAAAGATGTTTTCAGCTGCTGCTGCCTGTTATTTATTGGGTTCAACTCTTGTTCTAATCCTGGACGTATTTTACAGGAAAGCAATAATTACACAAAAACTGGAGCCTTATTAACAGTTTCGGATAGCAAGTATCTTGGGAGGGCGTTCTCTAAAGGACAAAAAGGCCAAATAGCTGGAATACTGGCTGGGCTATTTTAGGGCTTGCTTCAGTTTTTGTCCGTTTCTTTTTCACAGTGGTGGCTGTGGGGCTCCACGGTTGCAAAAAGGGACTTGGGGGGGGGGGGGGACAGAAGCCAAGATACATATCCCGGCTGCCCTTGGGCTCAACTGTGTGTCAGCAAGGTTAATTAGCAACACGTTAAAGGACCCAGATGAGAGCTTGAAAGGCCCCATGTGGGCCGGGGAGTCCCAGCCCCACCCAGGGCACTGGTGGTAAAGAAAACATCCCAGATGGGCTGTCTGCCCTCAGCTTCAGCACCTGCAGAGAAGGGAGCCTCCATCTCTCTGGGCGATTGGGACTCCTTACACCCTCCGTATCCACATGACCATCTCTGCACTCCCAGCCACACTTCACAGGGTCTCCTTGAAAGCTCTCCTCTCCTCTGATCTGTAAGCCCCCCTTCCACTCCACCCCCAACTCATTCAATGAGTATTGAGAAGGAAGGGACCCGCCTTGCCATGCCCCCCATCCCATTGATGGGGGCCTCTAATTGGAGGAAGAACTTTCAAAAGACAATTAGAAATTAGCTCCCCTTATTATCCCCAGCATTACCGCAAAGCCTGAGAAGACTGCATGTATATTGGGGTGGGGGAGAGGCACCTGCTTGAGAGACCAGCCTTGAAATCGGGGCTTGTCTTTCACCCCAATCCCAAAGTAGGAGGGGACCACAGACATTTCCTGGGTCCTGGTGGGGGGACAAAGGTTTCAGGGGAAATGTCCAAGAACCAGGCAGCCTCTCCCTGAAAGGCCCAGCTGAGCACCCGCGGGAGCCCCCCCTCCCCTTCCCAGATCAAAGAGCCATGCCAGGTGGGCCAGGCTCATGCCTTTCCCTAGCTCGACCCCTCCCCCAAAGACGGGACCAAGCGGATCAAGAGGTTTAGCAGACTGACATCTCTCCCTGCCTCCCTTCCGAAGGACCGGCGGCCCCGCAACCTCGGGGGGGAGGGCAAGCGAGCATCTCCCGCCTCCCTCCGGAAGCCTCTTCCAAGAAGGCGCCCCGACCGACGCCCCGGACCCTCCGACTCCCGGACTCCTCAGCAGCGCCTCCCCGGACCCAGAGAGGCGGGCGAGGCCCGGCAGAACCAGCCCATGCAGGGCCAGCCGCCGCCGCTCCCGAGACCCCCCGCCGGAGAAGAAGCCCTTCCCCAGGCAGAAGCCGTGACGGAGCAAACGCGGCGCAAACGGCGCGGGGGGGGGGCGCTCGTTCAGCCCTCCTCCCCCATCTCAGCGGCGGTCCTGGCCGCTCCCAACAGGGCTCGGCGGGCGCCGCTCCTCCCCGCGCTCCTCGACGTCTCTCGCCCCGACCAGCCTCGCCCGACCCGAGGGCTCTGCTGCCCGGCCCGCCGAAGAGAAGCCCGCCGCCGCCGCCGCTCCGGGGGCAGAAGGCGCGGGGGAGGCGCAGGCAAGGCTCCGTCGAGGGGGCGCCGGGCGCAGGCGCCTTTCTGAGCCGACGGAAACTTCACTCTCCCTTGCAGTCTCTGCAGCCGCCCCACCAGGGTCGCCCCGGACGGGGCGCCACTCGATTCTTCGTCCCGCCCGCCCTCACCTGCTTGCCGCCGGCCAGCCGGCCGCTCCTCCCTGCTCGCTGCTTGCCCTCGAGTCCCGCTGGCCGCCCGGCAGCCGCCCCGCCCCGCCCCGC